TATCATAAGTCATAGAAATTCTACACATAAAAACTTTAAAAATTCCTATTGTTTTGTATTTTCAAATTCCTAATGCTTCTAGTGTGTCTATTTTACCTCCTTGATGAAATTACAGGCATATAAAAGACAGGGACACTATCTCCTATGATTTATTTTCAATAGCACTTATTAAATTAGGGTTGGCTTAAAGGTAAAAAGAAAGGGAATCAACAACTTTCCTGTTGGGAAAGAGATGTGAAAAGATCTTCAACTTGTAAAGAGACATCAGGATAATGATAATATGTGTCTTCTAATGGAACTTTTCATATGCATAAATGATTTATGTATCAACATAAAATCTAGGGTCCACAAATGAAAGAACACTTAAAATATTTGTCTTTCTGAGTCTTCATTACATGACATCCTCTTGCAGGTATCCTTCCTGATAATGACATAATTCCAATCTTACTTTTAGCTGAATAAAACTCCAATGTGCATTTATACTACATTCTCTAAATCTTTTGATAGACCTCTAGGCTGGTTCCATTACTTGACTATTGTGAATAGCACTGCAACTCTTTTGCTTGGGATCACTTTGGCTATTGGGGGGCTTTCTGTATTTGCATATGAATTTTTAGATAGTTTTTTTCTATTTCTGGAAGAATGTCTTTGGAATTTCTATGAAGATTATATTGAACCTGTAGATTGACTTTGAGGAAATGGCCATTTTCACAATTGTTCTACTAACCATTAAGCATGAGAGATTTTTCCATTTTCTCGTGTGTTCTTCAATTTCTTTCATCAGCTTTAACTTTTCCATTGCAGAGGTTTTTCTCTTTCTTCTTTAAGTTTATCCCTAGGGTATGGTTTGGTTTGGTTTGGTTTGGTTTGGTTTGGTTGGTTACTTGGCTGGTTTCGAAGCTGTTGGAATGCGGGCTGTTTTCCTGATTTCTTTCTCAGCATATTCACTATTGATGTATACCAAAGCTACTGATTTGTGTGCATTGATTTTGTATACTGTTAACATTGATGAATGTGTTCATCCATTCTCAGTGTTTTCTGATGGACTCTTTAGGGCCTCATATATAGGATCATAGCTACAAATAGGGAGAACCTGACTTCTTACTTTCCTATTTGTGGCCTTTTTGGTTTTTTTTCTCTTGTTGTATTGCTCTAAGACCTCAGGGACTGTACTGTAGGAGAGTGGGGAAAGTCGGGGCTGGAGAGATGTTTAGTGGTTGAGAGAATGTACTGAGTTGCAAACGACCTGAGTTCAACTCCTAGCACCCACATATGTCAATTCAAAACTGCCTGTGACTCCAACTCCAGAGGATTTGATGTCTGTGGCTACCACAGTCACCCATACTCACATGCACATATCGATACACAGACACACATGCATACAATGAAAAATAAAATAAATTTAAAAAAAAAACAAGAGTGGGGAAAGTGGATACCTTGTCTTTTCCCTGATTTTGGTAAAATGCTGTCTTCCCTTCATAAGACTTCTACATGTCTTGAGATGATGGTATGATTTCTGTCCTTGAGTCTTATCTATGTGATATTTTATATTTATTGATTAGCACCCCAAACTGAAGCCAACTTGATTATGGTGACTAATCTTTTAAAATGTTGTTGAATTGTTTCCAAGTACGTTATTGAGAATTTTTGCATCTATGTTCATGGAGGAGATTGCTATAATGTATATGGGGGGGTCCTTATCCAGTTTTGGATCAAGGTAATACTAGCTTTGTAAAAATTATTTGGTAGCATCCTTTCCCCCTTCTATTTTATGGAATAGTTTCAGGAGCATTGGTGTTAGCTCTCATTTAAGGTATATTAGAATGCAGCAGTGACTCTGTCTGGACCTGGGCTTTTTTAGTTGAGCTTCTGACTACTGCCTAATTGCATTGCTTACTATAGATCCACATTGTTTAGATTCTCTTGGTTTAATTTTTTTTTGAGCCAAGATCTCATATAGTCCTGGCTAGCTTTAAACTCTGTGTGTAGCCAAACCTTGACCTTCTGATTTTCCTTTCTCTACTTCCCAAGCACTGGGTTAATAAGTATATGTCACTATGCCTGATCATGTGGTGCCAAGGATTAAGCCCAGGGCTTTGTACTTACCAGACAAGCACTCTCCCAACTGAGCTACACCTCCAGCCACTCTTGGTCTAATTGATTTCTGTCCTGGTCTTTATTATTTCTTTCCATCAACTCATTTTGGGTTTGACATTTTTTGTTTTTCTAAAACCTGGAGGTTCATTATTGAGTTATTTGATAACTTTCTGATAGTGATTTGTTGCTATAAATTTCCTTCATAGACACATTTTCATCTTACCCCGCTGGTTTTGCTAATGATGTTTAAATCTTTGTTCAATTGTAGGAATTTTTTAGCTTCCCTTCTGATATTTGATGACCTGTTCATTCAGTTGGGTGCTATTCCATCTCCATGAGTGAATATATCTTCTGTAGTTTATTTTGCTGTTTTATTCTTGTTTTATTCTGTTATGATCTGATAGAATATAATAAATTATTTGAATTTTCATATATTCCTTTTTTCTTCCTTATATTTCTTTTCTAAATATTTTACTTATTATTTTATGTTTTATGTGTATGAGCGTTTTGCCTGCATGTATACAAGTGCATCTGTGTTGCGCAATGCTTGCAGATGTCAGAAGAGGGCATCAGATTCCCTGGAACTGGAGTTACATACAGTTGTCAGCCACAATGTGGGTGCTGGGAACTGAACCCGGGTCCTCTGCAAGAACAGCAAGTATTCTTAATGGCTGAGCCATCTCTCCAGTCCCTTTTCTTATATTTCTTAAACACTTGTTTTGTGTTCTAAAATATGGTCTATTTTAGAGAAATTTCCATGGGCTGCTGTGCTGGATAAGTTCAGTTGTGAACTTGCCACACCTGGGAAGAGAGAACCTCAATTAGGAAATTTATTGTATTGAATTGGCCTGTGACCATATCTATGAGCCATTTTCTTGATTGGTGAGTGATTTGGGAGTGCCCAGCCCATTGTAGTTGTTGCCACCCCTGGGCAGGTGGCCTTAGTTTATATATGAAAGCAGAAACTTTGGATTATTTTAAAGAGACACTGAACTTTTAAAGTATTGGTATTTTAAGGACTGTGGGACTTTTAAAGTTGTACTGTTTTTATATTGTGATCCTATGTTAAGATGAGATCTTAGGGACAAGAAATGGAAAGGTTAGGCTGGAGAGATGACTCAGTGGTTAGTAGCACTGGCTGCTCTTGCAGAAGACCCAGGTTCAATTTCCAGCACCCACATGGCAGCTAACAATTTTCCATAACTCCAGTTCCAGGTGATCTGACACCCTCTTCTGACCTCAGTGGGCACTGCATGACATGGGTGCACCAACCTATATGCAGGCAATACACTCATACATATAAACTAAAAAATAATAGGTAAAATTTTAAGAAAAGAAATAGAAAGGTTATGGTTTAATGGCAATGTATTTGACAAGTTGATAAGGGATCAATTGTGCTTTCTAAAGTTTCCTTTTTTTCTTTGCCACTGAAACTGCTTTTCCCATCACCCACCTCATAGGATAGCCCTCCAACTACCCCCTATTTATTTCCCAGAGATTCTCAAAGGTAATATAAGGTTGCATTGTCCATCATCTTCCATCTTACAATGGCAGTGAGCGGCTTGGCTGGCTGCATGTATTACCAATATGCATCTTCTCAAGCATCCTGAGTGCTCACTATGTGCTAGGCATTGCTAGACATAGAAACAGTGGGTGGAAAAGGGTGGTTTTCTGTATTACCACAATGTGAGGTACTCTTCCTGTATGTGCTTTCCAAAGCAGGAAGACTCCAATTCAATGAGTAGCTGATGAAGTAAGCCACCAAAGCCATGGCAAGAAAGTTTAAACTGTATTAAATTGTTCTTGGGACAGAAAGCATTAACATTAAATTTTAACATTTAGACCTTATATTAGGTATTTGTACCCAGCAAGTGCCTGCTATAATTATCATGTGCTGGTTGACAGGAACCTGTGGTCTGCGAATATGCCAATTCAGGAGTGGAAACTCTATTATCAGCAGTCTATGGCTGACCTATATTGTCAATGGCACTCAAATACCAACTATACAGAAAATGCAGCTTAACTTTCAGTGTCTTTTTGCCTGAGGCCTTAGAATTTAATCCTTTTGAGGAAAAATTGATTTTGCCTATAAAAAAAAAAAGAGTAAAGCAGTATTATTACACAATGGAGCTTTTGATAACTATGAGAAAAAGATGGGTACTGTGACTCTATCTAATATTCTGTTCTCTTCAAAAACAGAACTATTACAATCAATAGGAAATAGCAAGCAGACATGGGAGAGCTAGTCCTTCTACAGTCTGATAAGAAAAGATATAGATTTAATGCCATTACAGAGACAGTCATTTCTCCCCATACAAAGTATAGTTAATAACTGGAGTTAGCTGGCTTACATGGTTCAAAACCATTTAATGATTTCTGCATCATTTCTTTCATCATTTCACAAAATAAAAATGCTCAGGAATCATAAAAATGATAAAAATTAAAAGTAACCTTGAAAACAAAACCTGAAGGACAACTTAATATCGGGCTCTTAGAGGAACTTATGGTAGCTATAATGCAAAATGGAGCCAGACAGAAACATACACAGCCAAGGTATATTTTGTGGCAGCACAGGAGAGTAGTCCAGTGTGCATCCAGAGCAAGGTCGGGTTTAAATTTGACCTTCACCAAGGTATACAGCTATTTTATCTTTGCAAAATAATTTTCTCTTCTTTGCACTGAGTATACCAAAATTACCACTATTATAGAATGAATTGTGTTCCCTTAAAACACCTGTGCTGAAGCCCCAATCCTCAATGTCTCAGTATTTGGAGATGTGGCCTTTAAAGAGGTAAATGGCTGATAAATAAGGTCCTAAGTGTGGGACTTTAATTCACAGAACTGATGTCCTTAGAAAAAGATAAAGAGACACCAGGAATGTGCATGTACAAAGAAAAGGCCAGAGCACTTTGTGTGACTGTTCGTTCAACTGGTAGACAAAGGCATGAAAGACAGGTGCAAAAATAAGTCCTCTCTTGCAACCCAAAACTCATTGTTCAAAATGAGTTTTGACATATAGAAGAAGGAATATGACAAGACAGCTCAAAATGATGGTGTTGAGAGAAAAAAATAGTGTAAGAATGAGGCATGCCCTGGGCAGTCAGCCTCAGGGCCCAGGGTGTGCCAACTTCCCAAGAGGTTGAATGTATGTGATGGATCATGTGAGGAACCTTATCACACTGGATGAATATTTACTTGGCCAAAGGTGCTTCCATATTGATCTCAAAATTCTGAACTCAGGACTTTTCAAGTTAGAAAGAAAATAATTAGCCAGATAATTAATAAGATGGCATCATCACCCTATCAAGATCTGACTGAAATTCTCAACAGCATTAAGAATCTAAGAAGTCTACAGATTTCAGAAAATAAATTGTCATGTGAAGCTATGAGACTTCCAATAATCTTGGATTAGAACCCAGTGAGATCATTGCTGACTGCTGTGGGGACCTAGATTTCTGCTTTTACTCATAGTAAAATCTTGAGGGAAATCAGCCTGTTGGAGAAAACCTTGGTCTACAGTGGGGTCATTGTACTGAGTGAGAACGAAAAACAGGCAAAGTGTAACCTGCATGCGAGGGCTACAGAAAACTAACTTCGATGAGGAAAACCAAGCTTTTCTGACTGCTGAGAAAAAGAGAAATCCCTATTTGACATTCCTAAGCAGTGTGTAAAAGTGAAAACCCCTTTCCAGGAAATCTGGGCATATTCTGACCCAAAATCACATAAAAGGAAAGGGAGTGGACCCTTACGTTGGCACACCTCTGGGTAAGAATTACAGATCACTCTAATGAGATATGATTTCTTCAGCACCCAGTTCAGAGATGTTATATAAGATGGATGGGGTTTTCATTTGCTGATAAAAGTCATGAAGTCAAGGGTGTGGGGTATGGTGGTAGGGTGAAAGTGGAGATGAGGGAAGAGGTCTGAATAGGTTCAAAATCCATTTCATGAAATTCTCGAATCAATAAAATTTTTCTCAAACTTAAAAAGGAAGAAGAAGGAAAAGGCCATACAAGAATGCAGTAAAAAGGCAGCCATCTGTCAGTGGAATGCAGCAACCTCTCAAGAAATCAGTCCTGCGAAGCACTTTGATGTTGGACATTGTGTTGCTTTTCTTGTCACTATGATGAAAGACCCAATATGAACAACTTAAAGGAGGAAATATTTATTTTTGCTCATGGTTTCAAAAGGTTCAGTCCAGGGTTATTCATTACATGTTTAGGCAGAATATAATAGTGACAGGAACATGTGACAGAGAGGCTATTCACTTCACAGTGCACAGGAAATAGGGAGAAGGAATACAGAAAGGGGCCAGGCAAGATACAATATGTCCAAGGACTGAAGAGATTAAAAACATAGATTGCTCTTGCAGAGGACCCAACTTCCATCCTCAGCACCCACATCTGACAGCTCACAACCACCTGTAACTCCAGCTCCAGGGACTCTGATACCCTCCTCTGGCCTCTGTGGGCACCTGCACTCAGGTGTACATACCCCTCCCACACACACAATAGTATATATAATTAAAAATAAAACAAAATCTTTAAAAAAAAAACGATATATGTCCAAGGACGTTCCACTAATGAACTACTTCTTCCAGTGAGACTCCTACCTTTAGCCATTTAATAATTTCTTCATATTACAAACCCATCAAAGGATTAATCCATTCATTAGATCTGTACTCTCATTATTTAATTTTCTCTGAAAACATCCACATAGACACACCTAGGTTTAGTTTTATTAATCTCCTAGTATTTCTCAATCCAATAAAGGTGACAATTGTGATTAACTTTCAAAGACTCTAGCCACAAAACTGTGAGAAAAAAAAATTTAACATTGAAACCACCCAATCTGTGGAATTTTGTTATTGCAGCTAGAGCACACGAGTGCAACAGTCTTCAGGGGGCAGTCTGAGGCTTGGATGCATTCATGAAGAGTACAGATCTTCACAAGATAAGTAAGCATTCAAAGGCAGTTTGTTTTGTCATTAATATTAATTCACAAACACAGAAGCATATAAAAGAATGGATAAATGGTCCCCACAACCCTTATCATATGCCACAAAATTCCTTTGAGGAATTAGCCAAGAGAGAGTAAGAGCTTGCTGTTGATGACAAAGACTGAGTTGGGGCACATTTTAATAGTAAGAGCTAGTGCATGAAGCTACCTAAGTGAACATCTGCCCCCCTTCAAATGACACTGGTATGAAGGGTATCCTTGGGTTTCCTATACATGCAAGTTATTGATGGCCCACTAGTATCTAAAGGCTTGGTCCAGAACAAGTTCCTACATAAACCCATCATCAGCCATGCACATTTCATCTCAAGGAATGAATCCCTAAATGCCAGAAGAAAGAAAAACAAATGGGAAATTAGAACCAGTAGTGGAATCTGATTTCCTCCACCTACCTCAGGGTCCTAAATGACTCTCTGGAGAATGTGCAGGTGATATTGCTCATGTGATAAGTCATGTGTGAGATAACACTGCCCAGTCACTCTCCTGATTCACTCCTCTAGGAGAACATGACAGTGGCCATTTTCTGTGTGCACACATAACATTTTAACTACAGTTTCCTGAAACTCATAAATTTAGTGAGGCTTCTTTCTTCAAGTATTTGTTTTCTTTTGCACATCTACTTTGCCAAATTTGCAAAATTTTGCTACTCACATAAATTTTCCTTGAGGCAGGCCACCACATAGCCCAAGCTGGCCAACTCGCTGTATAGCCAAGGATGACCTTGAACGTCTGATTTTCATGCCTGCCTCCATTTTCCAAGTGCTGGGATTACAGACAAGTGTCATCATGTCTGGTTTGCCCACATGATTTTAAAACTTAATTTAAAGTTATAATTTTAAAATTCTAGAGGTTTTATGAAAAGCACATATCCCCATGAGGAAAGTAAAAATTTCATATCAATTAACTGAATAACTAAATAATTATGGTTGATTTTTATTGATATTATTTATTTGCATCTAATTATTTTTAAATTGCAAATTAGCCATGACAGTTTGTTTGGAGATATGATTTTGAAAACACAGATTTTTTTTAATTACTACAAATATAGATAATTTCCCAAATGTATCTTTTTCCACTTTTCTGCCTCTAATTCAAAATATTCCTTGTACATGTTGAAAGCTACAGCCTAAGGTCTGGTTAAATCAGTGCAAGTTATGAAAGCATAGAATCTGCATTCTGGTGGGGTACCAGTATGAAGTAACATGGGCAATATAACTCTCAGATGATCTCTGGGATTCTTTCAATTCCTCTGGAGACCCCAGTTCAGAACCTACTTGCCCCTGAGGGATTCCACTGGGTTTCCAGGAAGGTCCACCCACATGGCCTCTACATGCTACCATTTCTCAAATCCCTTTTTTCCATTTCATGAGTTTTCCTGTTTTCAAGCCTTGTCCTATAAAGTTCTGTTTTCTTAGGAAAATTATAAAATCATTTATACTGTAAAGTATGAGTTATCTCAATGGAAGATAAGTCATAAAATAAGGATTTTGTATACAGATACTACTTTATTAATCTTTTACGAATGGGGCACATTAAAGATACACAACAGTCAATAAACACCTGTTTAATAACTTGATTTAATGGCAAATTGAGAACATATGCTAGAGGAAAAGCAAAATAATCCTTGTTTATAAATATGGAGAATTGCTCTGCTTCCCTGGGCTGCACAACCCTCCAGCCTCCATCCTGGGAGCCCTCTGGGCCTGGTGCCACCCTCACCTCCCTCTGCTTCCCTGGGCTGCCGCAGCACATCAGCCTCTTTCCTGGACACAGGGGCTGACATCTCGGGCTGGGGCCACCACTGCTTCCTGATCCCTTACATCCACATGGACCTAATTCCTTCTCGAGGTCCACGGGAGCCCTCTGGGCCTAGTCCTGCCCTCACCTCCCTCTGCTTCCCCGGGCATGCACGACCCACAGGCCTCTCTCCTGGGTAAGTTGATGGCACCCTCCACCCTTGACTCCCCCAGCCTCATTCACCCTCCCATCTCCCCTGCCCGTCTCTCCTCCTAGCCTGAGACCTGTCGCATTCCTTCTCTTGGTGCCGTAAACACCTAGGGAAACACCACTGCTTCCAGATCCTTTGCATCCAGACCAACCCAGTTCCTTGTCCATCCCGAGGAGTCCTCTGGGCCTGGTCCCACCCTCATCTCCCTCTGCTTCCTTGGACTGCACAACTGGCCAGCCTCTTTCCTGGACACAAGGGCTGACCTTTCTGCTTCCTGATCCTTTGCATCCAGACCAACCAAGTTCCTCAGTGCAGTACCCAGGAGCCCTTGGGGCCTCTTCCCACCCCTACGTCCCTTTGCATCTCTGGGTGGCCTAGACAAGGATCTTTCCTGGGCCCTGCTCCCAGGCCAGTCCAACACCCAAAGTCCTAAGCCAAAATCTTTCCTGGAGGGATCCAGACCTTAGGAGAAAGCCTGAGAGCATCTGAGCCTCATCTGACTTGGGCCTCTGTGGGAACGCCTGAAGACAAAAGCAATCAGGCAAGTCTAATATAAAATCAAAAGAGAGAACAGGAAGATTAGAGGAACCAGTTTTTCATGCCCAAAAAGCAAACCACAAAAGCACATAAAGTTTACGAAAAGAAGCAGACCTAAACTTGAAGGCTTGAGTTTCACACAAGAATCAGAAACTACAAAAGAAATTCACATGTCAAAATCACAGAGAAAAAAATAACATGAAAAATCAAAATAATATATCCCCATCAAATACCGATAGTCCTCTAGAGGAGTACAATGAGAACCATCTAGAGATAATGCAGAACGTGGAACTCAAAACAACAATTATAAACATGATAAAAGAATTCAGTGAATTTAAAGAACACACAAACAAATCAAGGAACTGAAGGAAGATAGGGATAAACTTCTAAATGAATTCAGAAAAGAGCTAGAAATATTGAAGAATACTCAGGATGAAATGAAGAAGAAAGTGAAACATTCAGTAAGCCAATTAGAAATGAAAGGAAAAAGCCTCACCAATAGGATGAATGAAATGGAAAACAGAATATCAA